CCATGCTTTTGTCAGTGTGGCTGCTTCTGTCATCTGTGGGGCAGACTGCTTTAAATTCAGGGGTCACCCTCAGCAGGATGCAGACCCCAATTTTCCTAAGGACAGATCCCAAATATTGACCCTTACCTTCATTTTTCAGCCCCCACTGTGAGAGGCTGGGTCAGCCTGGACACAGGTGTGTCTCAACTCCCCACCTGCAAGCTGAAGTGCTCACTCACTAAATGCTTGTTGATGGAAGGATTCTGATAAGCTTCCCACCTCCCGGCATGCTGGCCCCTCCCACAGGCATGCAGCTCCTCCCTCTCCCCTGCCGCAGGAGGGTGGGGCTAGGGCTGATAGGTTAAAAGCCAGCATCTGGGGACCCCCTTACTTGYTGGGTGCCCCGTGGAGCTTGAGCCTTAGCATGGCTGCCTCCAGCTCTGTAAGTCCACCGGCTGCCCTTTCTGGAGCAGGGGCCCAGCTGGGGTGATGGATATAGGAGTGGGCTGCAGACAGAGTCAGGGCTCCCAGGTGACCCTGACTCTTCTTTGGTCAGGCAAGTGAAGCCGAGGGTGGACTCCAAACCTTGGAGAAGAAGAAAGAGGAGGAGGAGGAGGAAGAGGAGGTGGCAGAGTCAGTGTGCCTGTGGGAGCAAGAGCAAGAGGAGGCAGCTGTGGCGGCGTGCTTTGGAGACGTCGCTCCAAACTTTCCTGGGACTGGGACTTTGCTGTCTCTGAGGACAAAAGCTCAGGACAAGGGGCCCGTGGAGAACAAACTAGAGTTGCACCCCCTGCAGAACAGGTAAGGAGGAGAGTGAAGAACTGGACCGGACCCCTGTGGCTGGGCCATCCTCTGTGCTCCCTGGTCGGGTGGCCTTGGACTCAGTTCCACATCTGTGAAATGTCTKCGCTGGCCTAAGCACTGGGCCTGTGGACTCTTCCAGCTTTACCCAGCTGAGATTCTGGGCTTAAAACTTCACTGCTTCCTCAACCTTTCAGGATAACTAACTTTAGTCACCATGTGGGGTGTGTATGGGGGGTGTGCTCCCAAATCTCCCTATTTTGTCCTTAAAGGGCAGGGACCTCCCTCCCTGTTAGCCCAGGTGCTGCTGGGGGTAGACAAGGGGGTGTCTCTGCTTCCTCTCCCCTATCAGGTGGGCTCTATGGTTCTTCAAGAATGACCGTAGCAGGGCTTGGCAAGATAATCTGCATATGGTCACCAAGGTTGACACCGTGGAGGATTTCTGGGCGTGAGTGTGTGTCCCTTGGGGCCAGGCCAGGGGATTCTGAGCTGGGAGTTGCTTGTYACAACTCAGTTGCTTGTCACACATCTCTGGGGCCTTTCAGCATTTGTTGAGGGATGGGGGAGGGTGTTCCTTTCCAGGAGGCATTGGGATTGGGCCATAGCCACCCCCTTGAAGCTTCTGAGGGCTTAGGGGGAGAGCTTAGGGAGTGGGAGAAGCCAGGAGCAGCCCAGGCTGCCATTTCATGGCTTTGTGACCCTGGGCAAGTTCCTTCTCTCTGAACTTAGCCACACAGTGAGGATCAGATTGCCTCAGAGTGTCTGGGGGCAATCAAGGGAGGTTATTTGAGAAGCGTGGTATAAACCCTAGGGGGCCCTTCACTGGAGGGGTGCACCAGGAATCTCCCCAGGGTGCAGTGTTCATTGGACTTGGATGGTTGGGGAAGCTCCAGGGGGAAGGTGGGCTTTGAGGGAATTCCAAGCAGCAGGAACAGAGTGAGCACAAGCAGGAAGGCCCCACGGTGGTGGGAATCAGTGGATCCCACAAGGAGTTGAGAGGGATGGGGATCAGCTGGGACCCAGCTTAACAAACTTGACTTTCAGCATGGGGTGGGGGCTCTCTCCAGGATGTACAGTCATATCAAGCTGGCTAGTAAGCTCTCTTCTGGCTGTGACTACGCAATGTTCAAGGTGAGTTCTGTTCTCATGCCCTCCTTCCCCCCAAAAGGACAAGGGTTGGATTCTTCCCAGCTTCTGCAGCCATCCTCCCTCCAAGGAGAGGTTTTGGGGTGGAGGGAGCCGTAAACAGACTTTTTCAGGGCAGAGGTGTGATTTCTGATTGGAGGGGCTGCTCTACAGAAGCCCACACAAAGCATGTCAGGCCTGAGCTGCACCTTGGAGAACACCCGAGTCTGGAAGGGTAGGGGGAGAGGGAAGAGTCCAGCTTTCTTGCTTGGCTTCTGAACACTCTCCTCCAGCCCTACCCTGGAGGTGCTGACGTAGGCGTTTACAGATTTCCCCRGGTGACTTCCGCCCAGTGAGGTTTGGGGATGTCCACCACTGCCCACAGAAACCTCTGCCCCAGAGGCCTCCTGTAGTGCTTCCGTTTGAACTCGTCTTAAGGAACCTGAATCAGTAAAGGAGATGCATGCATGCATAGACAAGGMTATGAACAGGGACAAATTGGGTCAGGGTCCTGTGGGGCTCCAAAGGGGTCTCTCTGGTGGGCTGAGTGGCACCTGGTTGTGTAGAATGGAAGCTAGGAGAAAAGTTGGCCTATTTAGGGCCTGAGCAGAGGGCAGAGAAGGCAGCACACAGAGGCAGCTGGGTCCCGCTTCCCTTTGAAGGAAGGGAGGTAGTTGACCTGCCGTCTGCCTTCCAGGATGGTATCAAGCCCATGTGGGAAGACAGCAGGAATAAGCGGGGTGGCCGCTGGCTGGTCAGTCTCTCCAAGCAGCARCGCCACATTGATCTGGATCGTCTGTGGCTGGAGACAGTGAGTGGTGGTGGTGGTGGGGGAAGGGTTCAGGGGAAGTGGTCTCAAGGGTGGTAGGGGCTGTCCCTGTGCCCACCTGGAAAGCTCACCATCCCCACTTTGGGCCCAGTTGCTGTGTCTGATTGGGGAGAGCTTTGAGGAACACAGCACCGAGGTGTGTGGGGCTGTCATCAACATCCGTACCAAGGGTGACAAGATTGCTATGTGGACGAGGGAGGCTGAGAACGAGGCCAGCGTCTTGCACATTGGGTGAGGGCTGGGTCCAGGGATGACATGGGGGTTGGGAGCTGGCTTGCAAGTGAGACCTCTGGAACTCGCAGTGCCTTCTCTCCATTCTTTTTACCCACCAGTATAAAAGGAATGGGAATCTTCTGACTACTCACATCTCCTTTGCTCTCTCTCTGCCCAGGCATGTATACAAAGAGCGCTTGGGTCTTTCCATGAAGACCATCATTGGGTACCAGGCCCATGTAGACGCGGCCACCAAGAGCAACTCCCTTGCCAAGAACAAGTTTATGGTGTGAGGGGGTCTTGGCATCACTCTGTCATGTGGGGCCACCACCTCATAAGCCTCATCGCTGTGGTGTATGCAGGACTACACCATTGATCCTGGGCTGGGGGAGGGGGCAGACAGCGTGATTTTTACATATTCTGGAGTGCATAAGAACACTTTTATTTTTTTGAGATGAGACCTTTCTATGTTGCCTAGCTTAACCTTAAACTCYTGGGTTCAAACAATCCTCCCACTTCAGCCTCCCCAGCAGCTGGGACTACTGGGGCTTACACCATGCCTGGGTTCATACAAGTACTCTAACAGGTATTAGGCCCAGGCCCAGGGGCAGCTAGGTGGAAAAGTTTGAGTCCTTCTTTTTGCCTGGGGACAGTGCAGCAGCAAGGTGCAAGAATCTCTTGGGTTTCCTTCTTTTACCTGGGGGTGGGATATGGGGTGGTCTTGGTAGGGGGCTTGATGACAGGAGAATTCTATGGGTCCAGTACTTAATCTGTGCCCACTGGGAAGGGAACTAGGTGGCCTGAGGGGGCAGCCTTTTCCATTTTGATGGAGAGGCTGGAGACCACTGATATGCTGAGAGTGGGAGTTCAGAGATGGGGTGTCTCCTCTTTGTGATGAATCTCATTGGATCTGTCGGTGCCCTTCCTGTATCCTGTCCCTTCCCTAGATCACCTGTGCTTGGGTCCCTGGAGTGGGGCAGCCCTTCCTGCCCCCCACTTCAAGTGTTGGAAGGCTAGAGGGAGAACCCAGCTATTTGTGTATATATATGTATATAGAGAGGTGGATGCCGAGAACTGAGAAGCCCTCCATGGCTTCTCACCTTCAGCCAGTGGAGTCTGCTTTGCCTGATTTAGGCCCAGGCCCTAGGACAGGAGCTTGATGGTAGTGGACGCCCTGCTCTAGTTTTGTTAGAGGTGGATTCACCTGAAGATGATGAAGCTTAAGTTAGGTACTTGTTCTAAATAAATACTTCTTAACGAACTTGGAATTATTTTTGTAATTTTTTTTAGTTGATGGACCTTTAGTTTTTATTTGCTTATTTATATGTGGTGCTGGGAATCGAACATAGTACCTCACACGTACTAGTCAAGCACTCTACCGCTGAGCTACAACTCCAGCCTCAAACTTGGAATTATTTTTAAAGAGGGCTCCAAAAATTTAAGATTCAGGCTCCCTCAAGTCCCCGCCCTGCCTGGAAGGAGCTCATGTGAGATTCTGAGGTACCAAGGAGGCCCACCAGGGTCCAAGTTGATATGAGGGAGAGGGGTTACTGGGAGACCTCAACCACCAAGGGGTGGGGGACAGGTTCCCAGCAAAACTGAAAGACCAACGGGCTGGCACTCACAAGATTCAGGTCCTTGTTTGACCCGAGTCTGAGAATCAGCTGAATTTTTGTTGAATGCAATGCACGGTCTGTAATTAGACTTGCGACAGGTGTGTTAACCTTCGCGATCCGCTCACCAGCAGCTTTTACTCTAGACGGCAAGGGCGAACACCGGGGTGCCGCTGGAACTGAGCCTTGCAGGGGCTGAGGGATCTGTAAATCTTCACGTGGCGGTCGCTGGCGCCCTCAGTAGGCATCTCCTGCAGGTCTAAAGGACGCCAGAGGTTGGTGAGGCGGTCTGTGAGAGGACTCAGAGGCCGACCTCCAGGGAGACAAACTCTGGCTGGGAGCGGAGCCAGGACCAGACGCCGGGCTCCGAGGGGGCGGAGTCGGGCTGTGGGTAGAGCCGACTCGGGGGCGGGGCCTCGGGGGCACCGAGCCGGGCTGTGGGCGGGGCTCCGAGGGGACGGCTCTGCGCTCCAGGCGGGGCTGCCCCGGCGCCGGGGGCGGTCCCTGCGGGGCGGGCGGGGTCGGCGGGCGCTCTGTGTGGCCGCGGCCATGAAGCCGCAGCCGCCGGGCTAGGCCCGCGGCGGCTCGAGCCCAGGGCGGCCCGCTGAGGGCTGGGCCCGCTCGCCGGCTCCGGTTCCGGGCCGGAGGGTGGCCGCTCACCATGCCCGGCAAGCACCAGCACTTCCAGGAACCCGAGGTCGGCTGCTGCGGGAAATACTTCCTGTTTGGCTTCAACATTGTCTTTTGGGTGAGCACGGGGTCGGCTTCGGGCCCTGTGCTGGGCTGGTGGAAGGAGGTCCAGTCCCCTATTGGGGGAGGCCACTTCCTGCTCCGAGAGCGCGCGGCTCAGACCGTCCCCGTCTCCTTCCTCTCACCCCCGCTCCGAGTCCTTGGACCACCCGAGGGAGCCCCGAGAGGCCTGGATTGCTGGGGGGCGGGACCCTCCGCGGCGGGGCTGCGGAGTCTCCCGGTGTGACCCCAAGGCCCAGCGGCGGAAGAAGTGTTCGCCTCCAGACCCCAGGGCCATGCTGTACGTGGGTTGGCCCCTCTCTTGCCCCACCCCCTTATGGGGAGAAGAATCCCTGCCCGGATTTGTCGGAGGGGACACTCTGGCCTGTCCTCCCCTCCTAGCTCCTCCAGCACCGGGGATGGATGCCTCGCCCTAGGCTCCCGCAAAGTGGGGTGGGTCACAGCCCTCTCCCTACCGCAGCGGGTACCAGGAGGCAGGCGGGCAAGGGCAATAGCCAGAGTCCTCAGCCGCAGGGTGAGGAGTCTCTCCTGTTCGGAGACCGGGTGCTGTCCCTGGGGAACAGAATGCAGCATTCCACAGCTGACCGAACCCAGGCTCGCAAGCCGCGTTGCCCCTGCTCACAGAAGGGAGCTGCTTGTGCCTCTCCCAGAGTGGCATCTGTGCCCCTGGCCCTGCCGAGTCATCTTTCCTTTCTCCCTCCCCCATCCCATGTCCAAAGCTGCCACCTCTGCAGTCTGTTTCCCAAGCCTTGGGTCAGAATGTCAGGCCTTTTCACTTGTGGTCAGTAGGATTCAGTGTCACCGTCTTTCACCCACATGATGCTGAAGCTTGCCTCTCTGGTGGATGTCCTTCACTGGTGCTGAACTCTGGAGAGTGTGGGCAGTGTGCAGGGAGCACTGGTCAGGGTCAGGAGGCCTGGGTATAGGAGGCTTAGCTGGGAGGCCTTAGGCAAGTCGCCTCTCTTCTCTGAGTCTCAGCTTTCCAGCCTAGGAACCTGTGATTTGAAGTTTGCCCCCTAGGTTAAATGAGTTTTAATGAGTTGAATTCTCTCAACTACCTTATTGTTCATATTTTATAGATGGGATAGACATAGAAAGGTTAAGTCATTTATCTATGGTCATATAGCCAACTAAGGTGACAGCTGAGTAGCAGTAGGTGCTGGTGAGGGAGAGTAGTGAACAAGAGGTAACCCCCAGTGTCAAGAAGGAGAGGTAGGAGAGACCCAGCTTTGTTCTGGGGGGCCTGGGCAGGGGATTGAGGATGAGTTGAGCATTTGGATTTTGTGTTAGGGCAGCATAGAATAGTAAGGGCTTCATGGTGGGATTAATGGTCTGACCTGACTTGTACTGAAGCAGCTATGTCTGGCTTGGAGGGGCAGGCCCTGGAGGTGGGGAAGACAGAGAGGCGGCCTGGGACATAGCTTCATAGCTGTCAGACCGGAGAGGGGCAGTGGCATTGGGAAAGGTGGAGAAAGCTCCAAGAAGAGCCCAAGGCTGAATTGACAGGACTGGGCCACATGAGGGAGTGGATAGATTTCAGCTTTGGTTCAAGGTGGCCCAAGGGAGATGCCTATGAAATAGGCCCAGAGACTTTTTTCTTTTTTGGCACTGGTAATGGAACCCAAGGCTTCATGCATACAAGATAAGTGCTTTACCACTGAGCTGCATTCCAGCCTTTATGTGTTTTATTTTTAAAATTTTTTGATGTCAAGCAGATCTGGTGTTGCCATGCTTGGAATCTTCTCATGGTTTTTCACTGTTCTAGAATACAGCTGATAGCAAGTTGTCATGGCTCATGCCTGTAATCCTAGCAACTCGGGAGGTGGAGTCAGGAGATGTCCTGCTTCAGTAACTTAGCAAGGCCCTATGCAACCTAGTGAGACCATGTCTCAAAAATAAAAAGGACTGAGGATGTACTCACTGGTAAAGTACCCCTGGGTTCAATCCCCAGTACCTACTACTACTAATAGCCCACATTTTTGTTCTGTGGCCTTCAGTGCTCTGTGGCTCTGGCCTTGGCACCCTTCAGCATCACCATACATGATCTTACTCAGGCCTTTGCCAAGCCCTCTGCCTGGAATACTCTCCCCCTTCAAACATCATTCAAACCTCAGCTAATGTGCCCCTGTCTCTCTAGTCATCTAAAGCATGCCCAGAACCCCCAGTCACTCCAGTTTGCATCTCCTGGTCTGATTTTCTTGAAAGGATCTGTGGGTACCTGACATATCTTTGTTTGCTCACGTCTCTTTCTCCTGTATGGCATAAGCTTCATGAGGGCTGACAGCTTGTCTATTCTGTTGGCGGGTATATTCCCAGCACTTGGAACAGTGCCTGGACACCGAGGTGTTTGCAGCAGCAAATTTGAACATAGGGGTCTGAAACCTGGGAGAAGTTCGTGTGGAGCTCTGGGGATGCCAGTGTTATGGAAGGGTGGGAAATGGGTGTGAGGAGGAAGAAGGGTGGAAGGCTAAGGTTGGACTTTTGGGGGCATGGCTGTATGTATGGGGTAGGGGAAGGCAGAGAGTCCTGGGAAGGAGTCTGAGAAGAAGCAGTGGAGGAAGGGGGGTTGAGTTAACCAAGGAGTGGTTTAGGAGAGAGAAAGTGTTGGCTGGTCCCCAGTCCAAAAGCTGGGGGCTGGATAAGTGTGGTGAGGCAGAAGAGGTAATATTTGCTTGCACATCTTTGGACCCAGTGTGGAGGAGGGAAGGAAAGATGTTTCCAGAGAGAGAGTACGGTAGTGGGTGGAACCTACTGTCAGAGAAGAGAAGGGTGGTCAGGGGTGCCTTTGACAGTTTGACAGGCCCTTTGAGAAAATGGAAGGCCACAGAGCAGTGGCTGTCTCTGTACTCTCTGGTGGAGTCTCCTGAATCTGGATGTCTAGGGACTTACCCAGGACCAGGCATGACAGAGTGGTTGACCTTAACTTTCAGAGCTCTTTCCAGTGAGGAATTGAGGCAGGTGGTGGGAAAGATGAGGGTGGTGCCAGGGGCTGTCTAGGTGGACATAGCTGGTATTAAGAAGACCCAGGCAGAGCTGTGGTGAGATGTTTCCTAGGGGTAGGCTGGGGCCCCTTAGCAGGATCCTACTCTGCACTGAGATTCCTCATCATTCGGGGGTCACTGATTGTGAGTTTTGGACGCTCTCATCATAAGATGCTGGGGTGTAGTTTGGTGCTAAAGAGCTTGCTCAGTATGTGCAAGACCCCGGGGTCAATCCCCAGCACTGCCAAAAGCAACAATAAAAAACCCATGATGGGAGATGACCTGGAAGCTATGGAGGAGGGTCAGATGGCAGTCTCAGGGCTACAGGGCTGCAGGAGGGCTGGGTTTGGGAATGGGCAGAGAGGAGGCTAGGGGGGTGGCGCTGCAGCATGGGCCTGGGATAGGAGCAGGGGCTCAGTAAGCTGCTCTTGCTTCTGGGCAGAAGCATATGTTCTACTTTGAAGTTCCAGGAAGGGACTCCTGAGGTCCTTCTTGAGGCTATGGGTGGCTTCAATCCTTCACACTGTCCTGTAGGGAAGAAACACTGAGATGTGACCTTGGGAAGGTGGACAGGACTCTAGATTCCATTCACAGCCCGAGTCCCTCTTTCTCCCCTGGCTTCCTGAAGGCCCCTGAGTACTAGGGAAGGATGAGTGAGTGACCTGGTGCTAGTGTCCACCCCTGAGCTCTCTGCTTTTGGTTTTTGCAGGTGCTGGGAGCCCTGTTCCTGGCCATTGGCCTCTGGGCCTGGGGTGAGAAGGTAAGGAATTGGGGTAAGGTTTGGGACTGCCCTTGGGGTGAGGCTGTGGGAAGACCAGCCTCTCATACCTGCCTCTTCTCCCCCTGCACAGGGAGTTCTCTCCAATATCTCAGCGCTGACAGATCTGGGAGGTCTCGACCCAGTATGGCTGTTTGTGGTGGTTGGAGGTGTCATGTCTGTGCTGGGTTTTGCAGGCTGCATTGGAGCCCTCAGGGAGAACACCTTCCTGCTCAAGTTTGTAAGTGCCCCCATCCCCTGGAGACCCAGCCTCTTCCCATCTGGTCTTTGCAGTATAGTTGGTGCTTAGTAACAGGTAGCTTTGTTGTTATGCTATTGTCATCATTAGATTCATGTGGTCTATATTTGTTAGGATTCTTTTTGTTGTAAGTGCCCACAATCCAGTGGCCTAAGCATGAAAGTGTATTTATCGGCTCATGTGAAAAACAGCAACAAAAAACAAACCAGGAGTATGCTGTCCATAGGTCACTTAGCCAGGTCTCTGTTGGTTCCATTCCCTGTGGGTGGAAAGAAGCTCAGGAACAGGTGCTGGCTTCACCCTGACCTTCCAGGAACTCCTCCTGGAGGCAGTGGGTACTCTTAACTCCTCTCTGAGTGCTTCAATTGTATGTCCTTGGCTCTGATTGGCTGTCTCTGGACCAATCCCTGTGGGCTAGGAGGAGGTAGTGCTCTGATTGGTGGGATGGTGGCACTGTCCAGTTCAGTATCTGGGCAAAATCCAGTTCAGTGCCCCCAGAGTCAGAAGAGAGCTGGAGCTGGCTCCATTTGAAACCTAGAACTGATCTTATACACAAGGGTGATTTTTCAGGAAAGCAGGTGTAATTACCAAAGGATGGGTAGGTAATGATAGCACTGTCTTTTCCCATCGTAAAACTACACTAAGGGGGTAGGGGTGGAGCTCAGTGGCAGAGTGCTTGCTAAGGGTGCATGAGTCCCTGGATTCTTTCACCAGCACCAAAAACAAAACAGAATACCCCCCTCCAGAAAAAAAAAAAAAAAACCCAAAACCTCTCTGCCAATATCACTGCCTTCCTGTAACTTGCCAAAATGACAAACCCAAAGGGAAAGAGAGGAACCCGCTGTTCTCTAGGCCTTTTAGGAAACACGGAGTTGTTCCTTTGGCCATATGTATGTGAATCTACAAGAACCGTGATATTGTGAACATTAAGGGAGTGGATACTGTTCAAAAATGAATGCCCTACAAATGTTACCATGACAGAACTGGAAGAGTCTACAGTGTTACCCAGCATGCTGTTGGCATTATTGTAAACAAGCAAGTTAAGGGCAAGATTCTTGCCAAGAGAATTAATGTGCATATTGAACATATTAAGCACTCTTAAGAGCCAAGACAGCTTCCTGAAATGTGTGAAGGAAAATGATCAGAAAAAGAAAGAAGCCAAAGAGAAAGGTACCAGGGTTCAGCTGAAGTGCCAGCCTGCCCCACCCAGAGACGCAAACTTTGTGAGAACCAGTGAAAACTAGACTGAACTGCTGGAACCTGTGAATTCATGTCATAATAGATGAGGGGGGAAAAGAAAGTACTGAGGACTATTTTTTTAAAAAAGTAAACAGTACTAAAATAATGGAGGATGGGGACTGGGGACTCTGGGGATTCTGGGTTCCGTTGGGTTTTGGTGGTAGAACTCTTCCCCCTGGCAACCTCAGAGCCTTGCATCTCTGACCCCCACCATATGTGTGTCCCCAATCCAGTTCTCTGTGTTCCTCGGCCTCATCTTCTTCCTGGAGCTGGCAACAGGGATCCTAGCCTTTGTCTTCAAGGACTGGATTCGAGACCAGCTCAACCTCTTCATCAACAACAACGTCAAGGCCTACCGGGATGACATTGACCTCCAGAACCTCATTGACTTTGCTCAGGAATATGTGAGTGCAATATCCAGCATGGGCCAAATGAAGGAGGTGCCCGATGGGCACGAGAGAGAGAGAGAGAGAGAGAGAGAGAGAGAGAGAGAGAGAGAGAGAGAGAGAGAGAGAGTGAGTACAAGTTCTCTGTGTGCTAGGACTGCCCCTCACTGATCCAGGCCAACACACCCCAGGGAGGAGACCCAGGAGTGCCCCATCCCATTAGAAGCCAGTTTCTGGTGATCCCTGTAGGACACAGATTTGGGAAACAGAGACCAGAGGGTCACAACTGGTAGCTTTCAGTTCAGGGCGTATGACACACTTAAATGGGGGAAATTTGACATTAAAATATTGACTTTCTCTTCTACTGACTCTTGAGCCCAAAGTATCAGTCAGGACTACTTGCTACTACCACCTTTAATGGAAGAGGGGCTCTGTTTGCCACTGATCCTAGCACTTGTGTTTTGTTACACCTGTCAATCTTCTCTCATTTATATCATACTCACATTACTTAAAGTTGGAGATACAGTCTGAGAAATGCGTTGCTAGGTGATTTCATTATTGTGCAAACATCACAGACTGTATTTACCCAAATCTAGATGGTCCACACAGATCAACTTGACATGGCCTCTTGATATAAACAAGAGACTGAGTGAACACAGATGGGTTATGCGGATGCTAGTGTTATATGGTATAGTATTTTTCAGTGATTTTTTTGAGATGAGGTCTTGCYGTTTTGCCCAGAGTAGCCTCAAATTCCTGGTAATCTTCCTGCCTCAGCCTCACAAGTAGCTGGGGCTACAGGTGTATGCCACTACACCCATCTTTAAACTTTTTTTTTTTTTTAAATACATAGAAGGAATCGGCTCTAAAATAATGATAGTATAGTCAATACGTAAACCAATAACAGTTGTTTATTGCCACTACCAAGTAGTATGCGCTGTACATAACTGCGTGTGCTGTACTTTTATATGACTGACAGTGCAGCTGTCAGTGAACTGTGTTCAGCTTCTGAACATAGTTTGAGATCCCCACTGCAGCCCTGTTCTCACTTGCAAACTTAAGCCCTGTAGGGAAGCAGCCAGAAAACAGTTCCCAAAATCTTAGATGCCTCCCACTTGCATGTTCTTGTCCACTCACACCCACACACAGTCACACACTCACAGTCACCTGATCACACCCACTTACATAGTCACATGTCCTTGATGCCATCTACCACCAAGAGTCAGCTCTGGGACCCAGAAATGGACTGGAGCTGGTGCCTTCCTCGAGGAGCTCAACCCAATGCAGAGGCAGATATGTAGCAGGGAGCTGCAGTGGGATTCATTTGTTCATTCAGCACAGAATTGTGAAGGGTGCACCCTGGGCCAGGCCCTGGGCCAGGTGCTGGGAATTTAGTGGTGAAGAAAGATGGAACTTGTCCCCTTGGGAATGGCGTCAGGAGAGAACGATGATAAGTAAGCAAAACAGGTGCCTGTGTGTGTGTGAGAGAGAGAGAGAGAGAGAGAGAGAGAGAGACAGAGAGAGAGAGAAATCATGGTAAGGGCTGAAAAGGAGAAGGGTGAGGAGAAAACCTCTGAATGGTGACCTGGAAGCCTCTCTGTGAAGAAGCAGCGGTGGAGAGTGGGGACTGTTGTCCTGCAGCAGGGACAGCAGGCACCGAGCCAGTGAGAGGGCACAGGTGCAGGCTAAGCTGTGCCCTGAGACCTGCACACACACAGCCACATGGCCCTGCCTCACTCCTGTGGCTTTGCCCTTGGGGCCTGCCTGTGTGCCCCTGAGCTGGTCCCTCACCTGCCTTTGAGCCCCAGCCTTTGTGGGTGGCTTTCCTGCGGCACATGTTGTCTGCTTTCAGTTGAGTGTGGGGCCCTGGCTCAGCCGCCAGATGGTGGGCTCTTGGGTTATTGCAGGCCTCGCACTGGCCATTGCCCCTGCCTAGGGGGCAGTGTAGAATGACCTGTGAGAGGGGATGGGGCTGGGGGTGATGCCAGCAGGTGATAATGAAGTGGAAACAGTGTGTGTGGAGGGGAGGGCTGGACAGGATTCCTCTCCAGTCCTTGCACCATAAAAAGAGAACTTTGTCAAATCTCTGGAGCAAGTGTGGCGAGATCCAGTGCAGTTCAGTGGATCAGGGTGCCTCTATCTCAGGGGGCTCTGTCCAGCTCCTGTCTCAGGGCGATTCGGAAGAAGCCATGATCCTCAAGCTCCCTCCCTTCCTTTCTCCAGCCTCTTAGGTTAGGGGGACAAGCTGAGGGCCCCCTTCCCTGTACCCCATGACTCCCTCCAACCTGGAGCTCTAGGCTTCTGTCCACTCTGTGATCCCTGTGGATCCTGGCCTGTCTACTGTGGGGATGGGGAGGTGCCCACTTGCCTGGCTGTCTCTAGACCCCTTCCTACCCAGCCTTGTCTCCTTGTGGCCTGGGCTTCTTATCCCCAAACAGAACCAGGCACCCAGGGTGGGCCTGGCTCCCAGCCAAGGGCCTGGCTCACCTGGGCTCTCCTCTGCCCCACAGTGGTCTTGCTGCGGAGCCCGAGGGCCCAACGACTGGAACCTCAATATATATTTCAACTGCACTGACTTGAACCCAAGCCGGGAGCGCTGCGGGGTCCCCTTCTCCTGCTGCGTCAGGGACCCTGCGGTGAGTGGGGCTGGAGGAGAGGTGGGGGCGTTACAGGGTACAGACCCTGTCTGGGAAAAACCCACCCTAGGGCCCCACCTGGCTCTGCCTTGCCCTGGGGATGTGGGTATTGGGGGAGGTCACTTCACTAGGGCAGTTGGTGCTGGTCACTGAGGCCTGCTGGGGCTGGGCCTTTCCCCACTTCAGCAAAACCTGTGTCTGATTTTACCAAGACGGTAACAGAAGGAACCTGGAGGGTAGGGACTGGTCCTGGGGCCTTCCTGCAGCCTGTATTACTAAACACAGCTCCGGGGACCAGCTGAAGGCTGCCTGGGGCTGGCATCACACTCGGTCACAGGTGTGTGTGTGGAAGGGGTCTCCCTAGCCATAGTCGCCACCACCCCACCAGGCCAGCAGGCCAGTATGACCAGGGGCAGGCAAGGGATCTGGGGTGGGAGATTCTGACCCCTTATGGCTTTGTTCAGAGCAGAAATTTCTCACAGTGACATGTATGCAGTAGAAGTTCATCTGTGACCCCAAGGACCAGGTGTCTCTTCATTCTTATAAAACTCGAGGAGACAGGATTCCAGATAAATAGGCAGCAGGCCTAAGCTGCAGCCACACGCCCTGGTGTCTGGGAGAGAGGCAAAGGGGCCGGGGGAGCCTTGCTTCAGCGTGGTGCTCCATGGCACAATCCCTGGTTCCGTTTGCTTCCCTGAGAAAGAGAGACCATTGTTTTGCTCGGGCACCACGGGCCCCTGTGGGATGGCCCTTACTGAGGCACTAATGGCTTGTTTCCCCTCAGGAGGATGTCCTCAACACTCAGTGTGGCTACGATGTCCGGCTCAAACTGGTGAGATGGTTGGGGACAGGGCTGGGGCTAGGTGGGGATGCTGAAAAGCCTCAGGAATTCTATGGGACTAGGGGGATACCTGAAATCCTGGACACCAGGGCATGGTACTGAGGGGACTGGGCCTGTGGGCTCTGCATAGGTGGCGTTGCTCATTTCACTCTCTGTGGACCTGCTATGTGGCCAGCATTGCCCTAGACTTAGAGATTCAGTGCTGATAAGACAGAGTCCCTGTGCTTGTGTAGGGAGGAAGGCACCAAGCTCATGGATACATAAGACAGTCATGTGCCAATTTTGGCTGAGAACCTGGAAGGTGAGGGGAGAGGGGCTGGGTGCTCAGGAAAGGCCTGTCTCCAGAAGAGGCATCCATGTTGAGACCTCATGGGAGAGCCGGGGAGGCAGAGACCCTGCAGCAGAGCTCCGGGGAGCAGGTGCTGCAGGCCAGGGACCTGGGGCAGGGATGAATTTCGCAGGCTGAAGGAAGGAGGGGCGAGGGTCTGAAGCGAGGCTGCAGTGGCAGGCAGGCCAAGCCTGGTTTCTGTGTGCCCTCAGGAGCTGGAGCAGCAGGGCTCCATCCACACCAAAGGCTGTGTGGGCCAGTTTGAGAAGTGGCTGCAGGACAACCTGATCATTGTGGCTGGCGTCTTTGTGGGCATCGCCCTCCTCCAGGTACTGCCATAGCCCCGTGTGCCCCTCCCCTTGCCCAGTGCCTGCTGCCCCTTCCTCACCTGCCCTCTGTCTTACAGATCTTTGGCATCTGCCTCGCCCAGAACCTCGTGAGTGACATCAAAGCAGTGAAGGCTAACTGGTGAGGCTGCTGCAGGACATGGCCACATGCCTGGCCTACCCAGGCCTCTGGTGGGGACCCCCCAGGACCCTCCTACTATATGGGCAARGCCACAGGAGGTTTCTACTTGGACCTGAGCCCCAAAGATTTTTGTGAGCTGGGTTGCACTGTCTGCCCACAGAGAAGGCCATTTTGGCTCTACTTGGGCTGCTTGTCTTAGAGCTCTGTACGTGGAGGGTGTGTGTGTGTGTGTAAGTGTGCATTTGTATTTGTGCACAGGGAAGCCACCATGTGTGGGTGCTGGCATAGTGGGCTCTCCAAGGGACTAGGAAGGGTGCAGTCAAGGGGGTGCAGGCCAGATCAGTGGGAGGTGCTGCTGTGGTACTATGTGTGCCTGCTCCACCCCACGCTGGGACACACGTTTCTGTGCATGATTGTGTGGGGTGAGCTTTGGGGCCTGCTGTTGCTGTTGCAACACAATTCCAGAGCGCTCTTCTCTATAGCTATGCTCTTAAGCCTGCCAGGAGCCCACCTTGGCCTCAGTGTCTGACTCTGAAATGGGTCCAAGAATTTTCTTTCTCTCACTTGCCTCTCAGGATCAAACATGATGATGGCTACAAACTACTCAGATAAAACTTTGAAAACTACTGGCTTGTGCCCACCAACTTGGAGGTTCTGTCAGCTGTGGGACCTCAACAGAGCTCTCCAGTGAGGGCCTTTGGCCCAGACCCAACCTCTCTACAAGGTGTCTTTGGCCTGGGTAGTTTATGCATTTGAGACAACCTTTAAAAATTGGTACATTTCACATAAAAGTCCAGATTCCTTGCTTCTCTTGAAGAATGACCATTGGGCCACACCAGCTCTTCAGTGGCAGCATTACCTGGGACATAAAGCTTCCTTGGTCACTGAGGTCCCGCCTGGCCTATTCTCACCTAAGTGCCCTGCCTCACCCCCAGTAGGCTGGGAGTTGGCTTCCCCTGCCTCTGGATTATTCCCTGCAAATGTCACAAAAGCTGCTGTGGCCAAGACTCAAGCAAAGCACAGGGATATGAAGAACCGYGATGCTGGACCCCATCCCCAAGAGGGTCTACCTGGAAGGAGTCTGGCCCTGCTGGGGACTGAGGTGGGTGACAGAATGCCCAGGGAATGGCTGAGAGGTGGGATGRGAGTCAAGAAGATTTTGCAAAGGAAGCAACTGGAAGCCCAAAGTATGGCCCCATGGAGTTGAAAGGAACCTGTTTTGGGGTTGGTTCCTGGGCTTGGAATCGGGTTTGAAAATCTTCCCTGTTGCCTGCAGAGCTATCTGGTGGCCACCAGAGGGCGCTCCAGCACAGCATTCCGTGGGTCTGGCTTCTTCCTCTTGCAACCTCGCTCACCCCAATGGAGCCAAGGGCCTACCCTGCTTACTAGTGCTTCCAGGCTTGCATATTTGAAAACCTCTAAAGAAGCAAACTAGCTCAGGCTTGGGAAGTCTGCCTCTTATGTGAAGGGGTGTATGTGGAATGACTCTGCCGCACCCCTTCCTGGGCCACAGATGAAGAGGAGGAGGTGGCAGGCTAGTACAGAGGTCTGGATTTCAGAGGCCCTCAGGGCCTGGTGGGTTATACAAGTGAGTGAAGATGGTTTTAGAGTCTGAGGCCTGCTTCAGTCTGACTTGACCACCTGAAGACCAGACACAGAGACATTGTACTTTGTGACAAGAGGAACATTTGTGCAGTCCAGTTGAAAATGGCAACTTGCCTTGGAGAACAGTATGTCATGGGGACTGTGGCAAAATACAGGTCTTCATCATAAGGTGGTAGCTGCTATTCAGTTGTGGCTGGCTCCTGCGATATGGGAGCCGGCAGAAATACAGAGAAGCCACAAACCCAGATTTTGATGTGAGATAGTCTGGATTTTAAGTTGTTGGCAACTAGTTAAAAAAATCAACTCTGTAAGCCAAACAAACAGCATAGGGCCCAACTTTGATCTCTGTGCCACCGTAGATCCCTTGGGGGACAGTCCCCACTGGGGCCCTGGCTGCTTAGCCATTCAGGTGTGCTGGGAGCTGCTGTCATGCAGCAGGTGTGAGGCACACACCCAGCACTGTTGCTCACCGCGCAGTCTGGATGGGGCCCCAGGGTTCCTGACAGGCATTGACTGGTGGTTCTGCTCATGCTACAATAAATGCAGCTCAAAATACTCTGTGTGTGCCTTGCATTTTCTAATTTCAAATGTCTTTGCTTTCATTTTCTTCCGCAAATCTCACCACACCCTTGTGAGGTGAGGTTTCTTTTCCAGATGAGGAAACTGGGACTTGAGGGGGAGGAAGGTCATGCAGAACACACAGCGGGGAGGAGGCACCAGCTCTGACCTCGAGCCAGAGGTTTGCACCACACCCAGCATGCCTTCTCGGGACATCTAGGTGAAACCTGTGTACTCAAGAGAATCCACCACCAAGGGCTGTAACGAAACCTTCATCTCCTAAGGAGAGTAGGACATCTACTTTAGATGCTGGATACATAGAGAAGAGAGAAGGGCAAGGTCCCTACCCTGTGCTGCTGTCTCATGGGGGAGAGAAAACAAGAGGGCACACAGTGTGGTTAGTAATATGTGCTGTGAAGAAAATAAGTGATTGCCAGGGAGCCTGGGAGGGGCTGGGGGAGGAGGCACCATCTCTGGGAAGCTCTGGGGGAAGTGTTCTAATTTTGGTACCAGCTTCCACAGAGTCCCTGAAGCTATGGTGGGCTTGTGTAAGAGAGCTGGGAGACGGGGAGTGGATGAGGGAGAGAGGGAAGTGGTGGAGCCAGGATATCTGGAGACAGGATTGGCAAGATGGGGTGGTAATACTGGGTAGGACTGGTGCCCTGGCTGGGCCCAGAGTTCTCCGAAGCTCAGTTACTACAAGACATCCATTCTTCATCCACCTATCAAGCTATTCATCCACCCACTCACCTGTCCATGTACTTGTCCACCTATCTGTCCATCTATTCACTCACTTGTCCCAAACCTGCTATTATCCACTCAGGCGCTGACCAGGGGCCAGGGTTCTTGTGCCCCTGCCCTCCCTTTTGCCACAGGTCCTTGGCATAGGCAGACAGGGAGCGACGGCTACTGGGGCAGTGAGTGCAATGTGAGAGGCATGTGATGACCACAGCTAGCTGTGATCACAGAAGGACATGGAACAGTTCCCTGCACCTAGGGGCCCTTACCTGCAGCCAATAGCCTTCCATATATGCAGAGTAAATGTATAAGGCTGTCCCCATCCAGAAATCTAGGTGGGTCCCTGGGCCRTGGGGACCAAGGTCACCCTCCTGCCCTTTGCCAGGTTGGAATGCACTCTGGTAGTGACAAGGGTTAGGGTTATGTCTCATAGCCTGGGAGCTCTGGAGCTCTGGACCTGCCTAATCTAACCACAGGGGAGGCTGACAGCAGATTCCCCATCATCTGTGACACTAGGCTACCCCAGACGTCTGCAAGAGCTCAAGCGCTGGAGTGAAGAATCAGGTGGGAATGAGAGCTGGGGCGACAAGGCCCTGTGAGGTGGTCATAAGGACTGAAGAAAGATTACCACTGGTGAAGGCAAGCATGTTCCTTGGAGATGCCACTCCAGAAGGCCACCAGAGGGCACCAAAGCGCAGCCCATGCAGCACAGTGGCTCCACTCRGCAAGCTGCTCTCCAGGTGTAGGGGTCATTGTGGGGTGATCCCCATAGCCGCACCACTGTTCTAGAGTCCTGGGAGCCCACCTGGTTAGTAACAAATCCAGGCTTTGCCGCCCTTTGTCTTCTTCTGGGACTTGGAGCAAACAACACTGCCAGCCCCATGGATGCCTCTCGCAATGCCCAAGGAAACCCAAGCTTGCGTTCAGGGCTGTCAGTGATGGCTGCCAGACCTGGAGAAAGTGTGTGCAATGGTGGGTGTCACTTTACTTTTTTGAGGCTGAAGTAGCACTACACATGTATTTATTCATGTATTTCTCTGTTTATTCACCCAGACTTATTAAGTACCTACTATGAGCCTGGCACCATTGTAGGCACTTGGGATACATAAGGGAACAAAATAAAGATAACATATACACACTGGCTACAGAGCTATGCAGAGCAGGCATTGCAGACTTTGTTGCAAGGGGTCAAAGAGATACATTTTAGACACATGCTGCACAATCACTCAGTTTCACCTTCATGGAAGAAAACAGCAAGGTGAGCCTGGTGCAGTGGCTCATGCCTATAATCCCAGTGGCTCGGGAGGCTGAGGCAGGAGGATCATGAGTTCAAAGCCAGCCTCGGCAATTTAGGTCCTAAGCAACTCAGTGAGACCCTATCTCAAAATATAAAAAAGGGCTGGGGATGTGGCTCAGTGGTTAAGTGCCCCTGGGTTCAATTCCTAGTACAAAAGAAAAAAAAATCCCCAATAACAACAACAACAAACACAGCAAGGTGTAAACAAACAGGTGGGATTTTGTTCCAGTAATGTTTTATTTAGGATGCTGGAATTTGACTTTCATCTAATTATCATCCTTCTTTTAATTTTTTTTTGGGGGGGGAGGGTACCAGGGATTAAACTCAGGGCCACTTGACCACTGAGCCACATCCCCAGACCTTTTTTTTTTGTTGTTGTATTTTATTTAGAGACAGAGTATCACCGTTGCTGAGGCTGGCTTTGAATTCAAGATCTTCCAGTTTCAACCTCCCGAGCTGCTGGGATTACATGTGTGCGCCACTGCACCCAGACTTCCTTTAATTTTTTTATCATTAAAAATTAGAAAACTGTATCTTTAGCTCTCAAGCTAGATTAAAAGAGGCCAGGGGTTGGATTTGCCTCATGGCTGAGTTGGCTGACCTCTGCTCTACCGTGAAGATCATATTGGGGAATTGACCTGTGGGGGGCGCTGTGTGCCATGGAACCATCAGAGCCAGGAAGGAGCGTGCGGAGGGCATCTGCCGGGTGGTGCAGGCCTTGAGGTTTGTGGGGTGGTCAGGATGGGCCTTGTTGAAAAAGCAAAAGGAGCAAACACCTCTTATTTTAATTTTAAGATTTTTAAAATAACACAAGTAAAATAGGAACCCATTCCATTTTTAAAAATGGATGAAACCAAAGCCTCTTTACTATTCTCTTCTGGCCCCTTTCAGGCTCTCCCAGTGTAGGCTATACAATTGTCCCCCAGGATCTATGGAGGGTTGGTTCCAGGAACCCTTCAGATACAAAAATCCATGGGTGCTGAAGTCCCTTTCACAATAAATGGCATAATATTATACAGTATAACCTATGTGAATCATCCTATTATTATCATTTTGGCGGGTACTGGGGATTAAACTCAGGGGCACTCAATCACCGAGCCACATCTCCGGCTATATTTTGTATTTTTTAATTTGTATACAGGATCTTGCTGAGTTGCTTAGCACCTCACTTCTGCTGAGGCTGGCTTTGAACCCACAATTCCTCCTGCCTCAGCCTCCAGAGCTGCTGGGATTACAGGCATGTGCCATCATGTTGGGCTATTTTTTTAAATTTATTTTTTCATTAATACATAAAAAACAAAAATTGTACATATTAGTGGGATCCTATAATGCTTCAATACATGTATGCATTGCATAATGTTTAAATCAGGTTAGAAATATTTCCTCCGAATTTATCATTTCTTTGTGATGAAACTTCCAAAATTCTTTCTTCTAGCTTTTTGAAATCTACAATACATTATTGTTATTTGTGAGATAAACTTTTTTTTTWAATAAAGTACTGGGATCAAACTCAGGGGTGCTCTACCACTGAGCTAGGTCCCTAGCCCTTTTTACTTTTTTATTTTGAGACAGGATCTTGCAAAGTTGCCCAGACTGGCCTTAAACTTGCAATTCATCTATCTGCATCAGCCTCCTGAGGAGGGAGAATTAAATGTGTACATCCAGGTATCCAGCTTATGAGGTCAACTTTTCAATTAATTTAATTATTTTTGGTACTGGGTATTAAACCCATGGGGAGCTACCACTGAGCCACATCCCCAGACCTTTTTTAAAAAAAGTTTTGTTTTTGAGACAGGGTCTCACTAAATTGCTTAGGCCCTTGGTAAATTGCTGAGGCTGGTCTCGAACTAGCAATCCTCTTGCCTTAGCCTCCCAAGTCGCTGAGATTGCAGACTTTGGCCACCATGCCCAGCTCAACTTTTAAATTTAATTAATTTATTAATGACGTTGGTGCTGAGGATCAAATCCAAAGCCTGTGCCTCTAGACAAGTACTCTGCCACAGCCCTGAGATCAACTCAGATTCCAATATGGGTGAGGTCACACAGTACTTGTCTTTCTGTCCCTTTCTGTCCCTTATTTCACTTAACATGATTTCCAGTTCCATGCATGTTCCCATAAATGATAGGATTTCATTCCTTTTGATGGCTTCTCCCCTATACTTCAAACCATCTTGGGATTACTTATGATTCCAAATATGACATAAATGCTGTGTCACTAATTATTATACTGTATTATGTGGAAATAATAATGAGGAAAAATGTCCGTACCTGTTCCGTACAGACACAGCCATCATAAGCTTAACTCCACAGTCCACATCAGGAACAAGGGAACATTTTTTACCAAACATTTTCCATTTGTGGTTGATTGAGCCCTTGAATGCAGAACCCAAGCATGTATACAGAAGGCCAACTGGACAAACTTCAGACTTTTCACCTTTAAAAAATCTTGTATTTGTGGGACTTTGGGTTATGGCTCAGTGGTAGAACACTCGCCTCACACCTACAAGGTCCTGGGTTCGAGCCTCAGCACCACATATAAATAAATAAAATAAAGTTATTGTATCTAACTACAACTATAAAAAATAGATATTTAAAAAAACTTTGCATTCATATTGTATGCCATAGAAAAATGTGTAGTATTATTTCCTGAGTGTTTTAAGTATTGGGACACTGTCTCCATCTTGTTGTATCTTGTTTTTATGTCTCCAAGATGTGTTATATCTTAAAATTTTTATTTATTTTTGGTACCAGGGATTGAACCACTGAGCAGCTCTTTTATTTTTATTTATTTATTTATTTATTTTTGGTATTGGGGATTGAACATTTAACCACTGAGCCACATCCCCAACCCTATGTATTTTATTTAGAGACATGGTCACACTGAATTGCTTAGGGCCTCACTAAGTTTGCTGAGGCTGGCTTTGAACTCAAGATCCTCCTGCCTCAGCCTCCCAAGCTGCTA